TTATTATTTGCATAATATCCACACTTCCCCTCCTTTAGATTTTATAGGAAAATGTACTTTCTCCTCCAAATTTAACAGCTTTATTTTTTCAGATTTTTTTACATGGGTATTGTTCGACAATGAATTGTGAAATTCAGTTATAATAAATAGTGGTGTGCTTAATGTATTACAGATATGATAAAAAAGGGGTCAGGACACAATGACATCACAAACACAACAACCTGCTTCGTACTACAGGCTCCACAGGTCTGATGAGATAGCAACAAAAGCTCTTCTGATGGAACTTGTGAAAGCGTGAGCTGCCCGTTCCCACAGTCCTTATTCTTTAAAGTCACAAAGTCACGATATGGTGAAACCATATCAAGAATTGCATCATATAAATGTTCTTTGTTTAAATATCCCCTTATGATCCATACATTTAAACTTAAAATTTGCACAAGGTATACAAGTGTTATGTGAAATGTTGTGTTTAAACCTCTTTATATACAGTCTATGGTTTAAACTATACACAAAAGTGCTGATTTTCAGTAAATATTAATCACAGTTTTACATAGGGGATAAAAAAGAAGAATTTATCCAAATAAGATTTTAAAAATGTAATGTACTGGTTGACTTTGCTCGATAGACTAAACCGAAGGGGTAAACCATCTCAAGATACAGTATGTGCGCTATCTATGATGAACCACCACAGCAGACAAGGGCGTGCTGGCAATGTAAGGGATGTTCGATTCATAATCCAAAGCAAACGTACGGGCGGGGTTAATGTTATACATTCGACAAATATCACCCAAATAGCATTGAATGACAAAACCAACGGTATTGTTATAAATTCATAACTTCTGCTGTTACTACAGGGTTTTTAAGAAATGTTTAGAGACAATCACAGTATAAACTCCACTCATCCGGGCGACACGAGATACATATTCCGATTTAATGACGCTTTGATTTGACACGCAGTGTAGCCAATCAAACTTCAAGGCGGGGCTTGAGCGATGGTATTACAGCCAATAGCGTTGCTGTCACCGTCTGAGTGACAGACGCTGCAGCTGTAGTGGGGGAAGGGGTTGCCGAAGTTGACGGAACCGCCATCTTGAAAAGTGCCCTCTGATGATCTACCTTTTCGCGCCTGTCAGAATCACTTTTAAACGCTTTATTTTCCCCACCGGGGTTCCGTGTTGGCTCAGCGTCCGTCTTCTAAAGGCCCGGGGCTAATGGCAAGATAAGCCACATGCTGGAGACTCTCCGTTTACCGTTGTCTATCGGTAAGTACACTTGCTAGCCCATGCACTTGGTTGGTGCTGAAGAGACGACTAGCCAGTAGTCTTCTGATAGCCAGCTAGCGTTAGCATGAAGCATACTTGGCCATCTTAACACTGCGCTGTCAGACCCTTGGTGAACCTCTAGCTAGGAGATGGCTAATGTTAACATTACATTTCAGTTCTGACATGTACCGGAAAGCCACAGGGTAATTTAGCCGGCCAACCTTTCAGCGAATTGACGTTAGCTTAAATCTCAATGAGATCATTTAACTTGACGTCGTCTCGATCGGTAGTTTGTTCACGATTTGAGGTGACCAGGTTAGCTCACAATAGCTAACGATAGCTAGTGACGTTAGCTTGCTGGCCTGAGTTGGTGTGTTTCTGTAGCGTTAGCGGTATCTGTTTTGGGCCCTGGTATGTAAATCGACTGATGTCTCTACAAACGTGGTATTTGTACACCAATACGCCAGTAACGTTAACATGTCTTACTCATGATGATCCGAGTAAAAACGATCATTTTTACGGCATTTAAACCCGTGTCCATGCCGGTGATTCGTGGATAGCTGCAAAATATTGTTAAGTAATGGTCACAATATGCGGTTACTACTGTAATATGGGATCTTCAGCAGGGTCAGTCTGTTAGTGGGTAGCTACATGAAATGAATGTAAATGAACGTTTGGTGTATAGGTTGAGATAGCTTTGTTGTTGTAGTTAAGGGAAACACTGTTGTCTTCTCTCCTGGTCATGTTCACACTGTATGTTGGCAACTGACTTCAGTCAAGTTCACCTAAACTGGCTGAAGCTGTCCACGTCGATTTAGTTTGGGTCTTGTGACAGCTATTCGTCAATTGTGGCATCCAATAAGTAAACTATGTTAAAGCTGTAAAAGTTTGTAATCCTGAGCTTGTCTACGATATTTTATTGCCGTTGACCTTTGGTATGGCTCTGTAACTTTGTTGTGTCAAGGGGCAAATTATCACAATGTTCAAAGAATAAGTTCTCTTGTTTGCTCTAAACAATCAAGAATTTGTAGGATTCTTAATGTGGATGTATTTGAGATCAGAGCACTGGTTTGGAGAAGGACTCTCTGGAGACTGCTATGTGTATATGTCGATATGATTCTTTGACAGTTGTTATAGAGTTAACTGCTTTTATCCAAAACAACGGGAGATTACAAAGTAAGACAATGACTGGCGTCTTTCGAATGTACTTTTTGGAGTAACTGAGTTTTCTTCAGCCTCAGTAGGTCCAAGCTTTATTCACCAATGTTCACGGTTCTTCTAAATGTGCATATGCTGCAAACACCCTCACAAGTGTTTAAGTAAACACAAGTAAACACATTATTGGGGAAAAACCTGAGAGTGGCTTACACTCATTGTGATAAAATGGTTGATATAGAAGCTGTTTTTTTATACAACCGATCAGTAGTCAGACTTTTCTTGACCCACCAACATTTTTTAAGCAATAACTGGGCTATTTGGTACATTTGGCTGCAGACTTTTTTTTCCACATCTGTTTGTGTATTTGCACTGATGTTTCATTGAGAGGTCAGGCTCTGTACTGAGGGCACACCACAGTTTGAAGTCATCTGAGTTATACAAATACTAGATGATGATTAGACTTAATCTCACTTTCAGTTTTTTTGTTGATAATAATTTTGAAAAAAATACTAGATATGATCTCTCTACCTTCCCTATTCTGTGTCATTAATATGCACTCTCGTAAAATGTCCCATTAAGAACCTATTATAGCCTGTGCTAGGTTATATCTCTCACAAACCTTTGCTGCTCTAACATCTTTGTAGCAAGTGTACAAATTACACTTAACATAAAAAGTGTAAACTTAAGCTGAAACCTGATGGACTCCTGCACAGCAAAAGGCACTGATCAAAAAAATTAAGGGAACACTTGAATCAGATATTCATGACCAAATTATTCAATTTGAAAATCTTTACTATTGAGGGCTGGATTCAAAACCACACCGAAAATCTTGCCTGTATGCACTCCCGACATCTGGGTATGCTCCTGATGAGTTGGCAGATGTTATCCCCGGGGATGCTGTGTCGGATTTAGGTCAGGGGAAAGTCAGGGCCAGTCAATGGCATCAATGCCTTCATCATCCAGGAACTGTCTACGCACTCTGGCCACATGACACTGGGCATTGTCCTGCACCAGGAGAAACCCAGGGCCCACTGCACCAGCGTAAGGTCTGACAATTGTGATTTCATCTCGTTACCTAACAGCAGTCAGGGTACTGTTGGCTATGCCACAGAGGTCTGTGCAACCTTCCAAGGATATGCCTCCATAGAAAATCACTGACCTGCTATCATCCGCCAGTGGCCAATTCTGGTGTTCTCTGGCGAATTCCAATCGAGCTGCATGGTGCTGGGCTGTGAGCACAGTTCTCACCAGAAGATGTTGGGCCCTCATGCCACCATCATGGAGTCTGTTTCTGACAGTTTGGTCAGAAATATACACACCAGTAGCCTGCTGGAGGTCATTTTGTAGAGCTCTGGCAGTGCTCCTCCTGTTCCTCCTCACACAAAGGAGCAGATAAAGGTCCTGCTGCTACAGCCCTGTCCAGCTCTCCTCGTGTAACTGCCAGTCTCCTGGTATCTCCTCCATGCTCTTCAGACTGTGGTGGGAGACACAGCAAATGTTCTTGCAACTGCACGTATGGATGTGGCATCCTGGAGGAGCTGGACTACATGTACAATGAACTACCATTGGGCTGCAGGTACTGCCACGTGCTGCCAGCAGTAACAAGGACACTAGCAGAACACAAAACTAGCGAATAATCAGTCAGAAAGGATAAAGAGAGAGCAAATGTCTGTGGCCACCAAATTTAAAACCATTCTTGGCGATCTTGCTTTTGCCTCCATTGCAGCTCTTGTCACTTTCATTTCCACCAAAGCGGTTGATTCACAGTTTCACGGAGGTTTAGTCCAGAATCACTTGTGCTTCCTAAATGGACAGATTGATAGCCCTGAAGTTTAACTCAATTGGAGTTATACTGTGACAATTAAGTGTTCCCTTGATTTTGTGTGTATACACACACATGATTCTTTGACAGCTGTTATAGAGTTAACTACTTGTAGCCAAAACAACGGGAGATTACGTGGTATGACAATGACTGGCCTCTTTCTAATGTAGTTTTTAGAGTAGCTGAGTTTTCTTCAGCCTAAATAGGACCACACTTTATTCACCAATGTTCACAATCCTTCTAAATGTGCATATGCTGCAAACACCTACACAAGTGTTTATACTCATTGTGATAACATGGTTGGTATAGAAGCTGTTTTTACATACAACTGATCAGTAGTCAGACTTTTCTCGACCCACCAACATTTCTTAAGCAATAACTGGGCTTTTTGGTACATTTGGCACACACAAAATGTTTCTGGACAGTAGTTTATATTCCAAGCTCTCATTTTGACGGTCTTAGTCAACCATCTACAGATTTACAACATCTTGTGTGCACACAAAAGCAATTTAGATGACCTAGACGGAAACACAGCCCATTATAACAACATGTTACCTGGCAGTCACTTTCAAGCTGCTGGTCTGCTAAAATCCTAATTTCGTGACCGCAATCTAAAAAAAATCAGATTTTCTCAGAAAACAATAATGGCTGTGCTCTTATTTCAGCTGTATCTACAATCAATATTATAACTCAGAGAATGATTCGAAACTTTCACTTATTCCTTTCTGTAGGAAATTAAAACATGCTCAAAGTTGAGAGCTGAGCTGAAAGTCAATACTGGTGTCTTCTGTCTGCTATAAGGGAGCTACACTTTGTCTGCAGTGGCACACAATTTGATGATCTGAGCTTTTCCTAAATATAGTAGAAATAAGCAGCAGAGTTTACAAAGGTCACTTTAGCACTGTACAGCAAGTATAGTTTAGTACCAAGTATTAGCAAGGCTTGAGTGAAAAAAAAATCTATCTTAATTTTTAGATTTTGTTTCCTTTTTTATTTCATTTACAGTGCACTCAAGTTATTTGGACATTGACTTACCTTTTGTTATGTTGACACTGTGCCCCAGTTGTTACTGTGCAAGTGTGCCTTTTAAGATTGATCATTTTAACATTACATGGCCATGGAAAGACTTGCGCATTCAAACGATTGAGAGGGCTGCGTTTTTTTTACCCCAAGCAGGGTTCAAGTCAGTCTGAACACAGCCTTGAGATTCTGTTTCATAGTTTCAATTGGTGTTAATATTCAAGGTTGTTTATAAA